CTCGTCCGCCCCCCCCTCCGTTTGTACCCCCCGGGAGTCCGTCTTTGGCGGCGGGGTCAGCGCCGCGGTTGCCTGTGGGACAAGCACAGACTCACCGGCCTGCGTCTTGCAGTCCGCCACCTCCTTCCTCGATGCGCCTATCAGGGAAAATCCCTTTATGTAGGCCGCGTCGAGCATTTCCCGCGTCTTGCGGTACCGCGAGGCCGTTGTTCTGGCCTGTTCTTTGCAGAGCCGGAGCTTTTCTTCCAAGGTCCTGACGCGCTCCTCAAGTAGCGCGCTAGAACCGCTTCGCTCCGGCCTCACCGCCTCTACCGGCTGATAGGCGAGGGCAACAATGCCCTCGGCTAGTCCTTTTATAGTGGCTGCCACGTCCTTGAGGATCTTAACATATCTACCGTTAAGATTGTTTGGTGGCTACTTTCATCACTGCCTCCGCGGCTGTGTGCGTCTTTTGCACCATTTCTTTAGCGGAGGAAACCGGCCCCGGGAGTCTAGAGGACGGCAGCTGAGCCGTGTCGCTCCAACACCCGTCCTCCAGCTCAAGCACCGTTTCCGCTTGTCTTGCAGCCAGGGCGCGCTCTTCGGCTGCAACGAGTCCGAGAAACTCGCCGACGGTTGGCGGTCTGCCCGTCCCTTCCACACCCCCATTCGTACTAGGGACCGGTATGGAGGCGTCCTCCAGCACCTCCATGATGCTGTCCGAGTCCCCAGATGGTGGTGGGAACCCGGACACGCCGGCGAGTGGCGGAGAGCGAAAGCGCTCCCTCGCCGGCTTCTTCTTGTCTCTCCCAAAAAGGGCGCCACCGGCGCTAACCCCAGTGAGGGAGACATTCCGAACATTCGTCGCGCGCCAAGCGCGAGATTATCTGAACGCTTCTTCGCAGTCGTGGATTCCACCACTGCCCCTGCGGTGCAGGCAGCGGTTAGTCCATGGCGCGATGACGACATGGGGGTGCCTGGAACGGCAACACCCCCACGCCGGGCCCTGAGTGTCCGATCACTCTGGGTCGGTACGTTCTTCTCTTCCTCAGAACTGCTCATCATAATTGTCTTAAAGAGTGGTTTGATTTTGGAGTTTTCCTTCTCCTAGGCCGGCTGCCTAAACAGGACTAACGAGCCCGGCCTGCCCGGGTGCGCTCTTGGTCTGGCCGCTCCCCGTGGACATGTCCGGCAAGGGTGACCTTGCCAGGAACCGAAGTTCCCGCCGGCATAGCTCCACGGATCAGCACGGCACTCAAACCCCTCCACTACAACAAGTACCGGCTCTCGGGAACTGCCGGAGACCGGTGAAAAGGGGAGTGGGGACGGCGCGATGCCTCCCTCTCTCCCCAAAAGGAAAGCGTCCGGGACCAGAGACCGTAAGGTCACACAAACAGGTGCGGTGCCAAAAGCGCCGGGTTCAGGGGGAGGCTCCACTAAGGAGCGCTTTTTTTTTTTTTTTTTTTACGGGGAGAAATGCATTACGCATACCCTGAC